ACTTTACTTAAGTAGAAATTTTGGTTATTTATGCTTTAGTGGAGTAATTATTTTTAGCCTACTTTTTACTTCTATTCCTTATATTTTTTACATTACTCAAAAATTAAATATGTCCAATTCAAAATTTAGAACTGGTGTACAAAATGTACCCAATCATAGTCTCCTTCCCTCCAACCTTTGAGTCGAGACGTTAGTTTTCTGCGACTGTGACCAGAAGACATCATTTTTACAATAACGTGGTTAACTTTAAAACCTTACAGTACGACCCTGACTTATTATTACTCTTAAACAAAAGGATGAACAGGCAAGAAATACATGTGCAAACCGTTTATTGTCAGATTGGGAGAAATGAATTTAAARTGTACACTCTTTAGCTGAAGAATAATGTGATAAGCCGTGTAGATACAGTATATTCAGAATTATTGTTAAGAGCACGTTCTTTTATTTTTTAAAACATGAACGATCATAAACATGAGAAACAATGGTTCTAAAAACCTCAACCACACACAAACATACACCCGATCTCACAACACAAATGAATAATTTCAATGTTTCAGTAAACTAATAATCATCTCTCACAGAAGYGATAAAATAAAATTACTTGGTTCCACAGTGGGATGCAGGAATGTGTTTGGAGACGTCTGAACTGTAATCGGTGCTAAACGACAGGCTTTCCCTTGGTGCTTTAATGAGAAGGTGAAAATGCAGCCAAGCAGGATGATAAAAATAAAAAAGATGCAATGATGTTTCTCCACTGGGACTCTAAGACTCATTTCTACGGCCTCTACCTGTCATGCAGGTTTATCTTCAAAAAAAGAAAAAAGAAAGAAAAAAGGCTCATCCAAGTCCGAGCAGTGATSCGTTCAGTTTGGTTTACATTCCACATGTCAACGTCTAAAATAACAGTACTCTGATACAGAAATAGATTGCATTGTTAGGCAAATTTCACTACAATAATTAAGAAAAAAGTCTTAAATATCCGCTCTTCGACCCTTCACACCCAGAAGATCCATGCAACTTCAATATGGTCACTGTACACGACGAGAGCTGGCTCCTCAGAACGCGTTTTACTCCTCGAGACGTTCGACAGCTTTCATTTCYATCGCTGTATAATTTAGTAAAACGTGTCGGGAGGAGAGTTACTTCACAGAGCTGAGGAARCAGCAGAAACAGCCACACAAACACAGGGATGAGGAGCTGCGATGCACTTTTTTGTCCTAATCCTTAAACCGAAACACAAAGCTCCACGGCCGATGTAAACAAAGCAAGGCGGAGCCTAATCGCCAACCAGGAAAATCTACAAGGATGTGTTAAGGAATGGTTAATTTAACCAATGCGGTAAAGCTAAATTAAAGGCAAGAAAAGCCATTTTTATAGTAATATTTCAAGGAATTAACGCTTTGTTTCTCTAATTTTGTTCAAGTCGTAGAGTTGGTCCTAATTAACCATCTACCCTTTGAGAAAACCCAAACTTAAAGAGGTCAAACTCTACGGTTCTTATAACGTTTAGTTAAATCCTCTCCTTCCTCTTCAGTGCAGAGTGTCGGCCGCCTCGTTCTGGCTCTCCTCGGCCATCTGCACCAGCTCGTTCACCGTGTGCAGCAGGCTGTAGTTGTGCTTCCTCAGCAGCTGCTGGTTGAGCCGCTGGTCCTGGAAGCCCATCTCCAGCAGCATGGCCATCATGGACGGGTCCTGTCTGGTGGCTGGGTCGATGCCTCGCTGGAAGACAAGTATAAAACACGAGAGTGGAACATGAGCAGGGCTTCAGCTGTTTGGACGCTAARTGAATTGTTAGAAATCATTTTTTTATGTGACAAAAAGAAACAACATGATTGGCTTTGCTGTGAAACTACTGACAGTCATGTCAACAAATGTTCATCAAAACAAAGCTGGAAGAAGATTAGAATCAAAAGCTTTAAGCTGTTTTAACAAGAGAAATTGTTTCCCGCAAAAATTCACTGTGAATGCTTATTGTCGAATAATTTAGCTGAAATATTTTTAAACACTGTGCTATTAAAAGTTGCTAAATTTTGAAAAAAAAAAAAAAATCAAGAGTTGAGGTGGAACCTAAAATTAGCTCAAAAGGTGCTGAAAAGACTGTGAAAACAAAAGCTTTGACGGGCAGAGAACAGCTGGAAAATACAGAAATATGCAGCTAAAATGTGAAAGGAGTAGAAATGTAGCTGAAAGGGCAGAAAAAAAAACTGAAAAAAAGGGCAGAAAGAAAGTGAAAGGAACAAAAGGAAAGTTTAAAGTTACAGAAGAAGTTGAAGAATAGCAGGTCAGAATGACAGCTAAAAAAACAGAAGAAAAAAAAAGCTAAAATCAGCAAAATAGAAGCCAAACTGAAAAAAGCAGAACCAGAACAAAAATGAGTACAGATTAATAAACAGTTTGATGGGTGTTACTGGGTGTTACTGGGTGTTAATGGATTATGACAGCTCTGTTCATTTTCAATGAGAAAAACGTGCCAGAAAAAGCTAAATATCTCCAAAATGTATAAASTGTTGAAATAGCARAARTCAGYCAGAATGTCCTGAAGGAGCTGAACGTGTTTATGTATAAACTGTTGAAATAACACAAAAATTGAGGAACAAGATACATGTTGAAAAATGTACAGAAAAAAGGTRTTTTCACTAAGTCGACTGGACATTTTTGTATTTGGAGCCGTTTTGCTGCATTTGACATGARGAAACGTGAATATGTGCAGGACACAATGAAGTCATACACATGTACATATTACCCTTAATTTTTTTTGTTTTACTTTCTGTGCTTCAACTGCAAACTATGTATATTTCGTATTTTTTTTATACTTTTTTCTTTTTTTACTTCTTCTTTATATATACACACATATAATGTAATAATGTGATAATGTCACACAGCAATATATTGTTTCTCTGGATTGATGYATGTATCTGCTGCTGCTRTTACACCTGGAATTTCCCCATGTGGGACATTAAAGGCTGTTTCTATTCTATTCTATTCTATTCTATTCTATTCTATTCTATTCTATTCTATTCTATTCAGCGAGTTGAACGGTTTCTTCTCATCTTAAGAATTTCATTGCATTGTTGACTTTTGTAAACCTACATGTGGCAATAAATGAATCCTGAAGTCTCAAGACTATCAAGGCATCCTGGAGTGAAACTTCCTGCTCTGAAGCTCAGCTCCAGCTGCAGATCATGAAACATTCAACGACCCAAAACGTACAGCTAAAAGCATGAAGAGTGGCTGAGAAGAAACCAACATCCTCCAGGAGGGCTGATTGAACTTGTGTCAGCGGTTGTGTTTAAACCTRTTTTACCTGTATGGAACAGTTCGGTCCAGTGAAGAGGGCCTTATAAGCAGATGCGGCCACTGAAAGGGCCCCTTTGACTAATCCCTCTGTGATGCCTCCCTGGCCCCTGTTGCAAACACACACACTCCCTGATTATAGCTGTCAGCTCTACAGTTATCAGATTACACCACATTAAAAAGATAAACCTTGGCTGCAGCGCTTTGCTCGGTCTAGGGTTGTAGGTCTCAAAGGCACTGGATGCTGAGCCTGCTGATCTCGACAAACCATATGATACTGCAGAGAGAAAGGAAACAGCACAAACAGATTCAGATTAGATGAGGAAGAAGGCTTTTTGCTGAAGCAGCAAACCCTGCAAAGCTCGCGTGGCGTCTCAGTTCCTCTCTTACTGGAACGGGCAGCGTGTTTTAGTGACGGAGCCGACTGGCCTAAAATATCTGAAACCGCCGGGTCACGTCAACACCAACGGTCTAAACGCTGACGCCAGGCTGAGTTTTACACGCAGGAACGTGGCAGCAGATGTGTTTAAACGCACCATTTAGGTGAACCCGCGGTTGGTGTGGCTCATCCGGGTCGCAGGCAGGAGGACTTGGATCCTCGGCCAGATACAGCGCCTCAGATCTGAAACACAGAGTTAAATCATTAAAAGGCTGCGTCAGCGCTTAATGAGAGCAAACTCTGTGGTTTGTCTGCGTCTCACCGGGGTGAGTAGAGGGTCGGTGGAGGGTGCAGGGGCTGMGGCGCGACGGGCAGGGACACCACCTCGGGGGTGAGGGTGACGGCGTCGAGCGTTTGGGAYGCACACAGCATCTGGTTGACGCTGCTGTGGACGGCAGGGACGTGCGGAGGCCAGGTGTCGGCCGACGACTCCTCCATGGCGATGGTCTCCTCCTTCCTGTCGGTCAGCGGCGCCTCCCTGCACGGCTCAAAGTCGCAGGCTTCCTCTTTCCCCTCCTCCTCCTCCGGATCTGGATCGGTGGAGGTGCCGGCAGCGACGGTGTCGGGCTGCGACATGGCCGAGCTGTACATGGACTCCCCCAGAGGTCGGCTSGTGTCGAAGCAGTCCGGGAGGACGATGATGTATTCATCGCTGGAGGAGACGGAGGACGTCTGGCTGCTGACCTGAGACAGAACAGAAAGACACAAATATTTGGACTTTATTTGGAGGACYGTGCTGTCAGCTGCTGCTGGGAGAAAGCTGAGTCATTTCAGTGCTGAAATGTGTCTGTTCTGTATGCAGGCCTGTTATGATAACAATCTTTACTGGACGATATATCRTCTCAGAAATTATCGCGATAAACSATAACACTGTTCAGAAACCATTTTAAACTAAATTAGCTAAATGCCTGCAGGCAAATGAAAATTACTGACCTCATTTTTATTTATTGTGCCATTAACTGATTTATTGATTATAGCGACAGGCCTACCTGTATGCATTTAACAGGGTATCTGCAGGTTTTAGCAAGTCAAATTTAAGACTTTTTAAGACCTTTTTAATACCACTTGAAYGAAATTYAAGACCAAAAATTTAAGCGATGTGTCGCTCAATAAAACACGTTGRATTTAAAGATATTCAGCTCACTGGTTAAATTAGCTGTATTTTACAAGTGCAGAATTTGGTTGGAAACAACCAACATAAAATACATCTACTAAATAAATTCATGSCATGAAACTTTGTGTTTTAACCTCCAGTTTTGCTTTTATACAAAAATAAATCATCCAGCCAACTGACAATAAACATGTACTTTAACCTGCAGCTTCGTAATCCAACAAATGTTTGAAGGAAGAGAGGTTTTTTTTTTTTACAACTTTTCTGTAGTTTATTTTTATGTAATATCAGTGTTTTGAATTGAGGTACTCTGATGTATTTGAAAAATTACAGCACATAAAGTTCCTTTACAAATAATAAATTACGGTTATAAACCGGTAAGTTCTTTTTTATTGTTAAATTAATTTATTTATTTTTTGTGTTTGACACATTTCTCCCCTAAAAATCAACATTTCATTCAAAGGGAATATTGACAGGATTATAGCTCATGCAGTCATACTGATTGATGATTTGAGATCCTTCTAGAAGGCACCTTTAATCGCTTCTGCCTGACAAAATTTGAGATCTTTGAGTAACAAATTTAAGACCAACTTAATCACTAACAAATTTAAGATTTAATTTAATAAGGCCTTAATGTTAGATATGYGAATTYAAGACTTTTTAAAGGACCAGCGGACACCCTGATTTATCAAATTAAATCCTAAWACAGTATATAATTAAATCGCTCACCTCATCCCAGTCTTCTCCTCTTGTTTCTCCCTCCTCCTTCTGCTCCTTGTTTGTCATGTTATGCAAAACTTCTTTGTCCTCGCTCTCGTGTTGCAAAGCGATGTGAAGGTTTTCTTTCTCTGCTTCCAGCAGAACAGCAACAAAGATTCCCAGTAAAGCGAGGTAAAAAGAAACTTCCAGAAAGACAACCACAACTGAAATGTGACTTTAGGCAGGAGTAAAGTATGTAAGTCTGTCACTGACCTGGCCTGTTCTCCTCCTCTGTCTGGGTGAGCTGGTGGAGGCTTGTGTCGACGGGTGGGGCTAACCTCTCAGCTCCATCAGCAATAATCTCCTCATTTTTTACTTTTTTCTTCTCAGCCTCCGTCTTCTGGAAACAAAAGCTCGGCCCTTGAGAAACAACWGCGAGCGAGGAGAAAATGAACAATGTTGAGTATTTCAGCAGCAGAAACAGGCGGCTCCAGTAGCTTCTGCGGCGCCTCACCCCGCGGCTTGTGGCTGCCTCTGCGCAGGGGTCTGTGGTCGGGGGCTTCCTCCAGCGTGAGGGAGCGGATCACCGTCTCACAGAGGAACTGAGCCCCACTGATCTCCTCCTCCTTCTCCTCCTCCTGGGCTACAGACTCCAACACCTCCTGCTGCCTCGCTTTCACTCCTTTGGTGAAACACAAGTGTTAAAAGGCAGAATAGAAACCAGAAGGTTTACCTGCTCATATTGGACTAAATAATTTAAAAAATCATCACTTTTGGACGTCAGTCTATCTAAAAGCTGTCCAATGGTTGATGAGATATTTTGCTAACACTGCAAAGAAATGCCCTCTTGCCTTYGGCAGCAAGTGATAAACACTCCTACATTTCTCACCAAAAGGTTTTCTGACTCCGGGAGCCTCGGCGTCCTCTTTCATCGTTGAAGTAACGGACTTATCCAACCCAGGTGCATCATGGGGGAGAGGCGAWATGCAGGGAGTCAAATCTGGAAACAGCAAAGTACAAACTCAGTACTTCCACGTACTCACAAGTAAATACATTCTCTACTTTATGCAGCCAAAATAAAAAGGTCAAAACTATGAAGGTCAGCCACAGTTCTTCAGTTCAGTGAGGGTTGGAGTGTTGAAGAATCAGCAAAGAAAACGATAATAAATATCAGCTGAGATAAAAATCTAATTTCTCCAAGTCATTCATGACTCACCAACAGGAGTGTTGTTGGGAACCTTTTCCAACTCTTGCACAATGTTTATGTCCAGTAACTCAAATGACAGCAGATCCTAAAAAAAAAACAGATAAAAAGGGATTATTAACCATAAACTGATAATCCAACTAGTGTTAGCATCTGATCTATAGTTATATTTCAACTATTTAACAGATGAATTTGCTTTTAGCTTGTCTCAACTTATATTAAGATGTGTTTTTATTACAAGGAAGAAGAACTGAGCTGGGCAGATATTTTACTGCTCCWAAAGCTCCAGGACTGTGTTCCATTTCAACATTACTGTTTAGATTAATGGTGCAAGATTTAAAAAAGTGTTATTTTTCAGATTTTCTGCACAATTAATTGTTAAATATTACATTAAAATCAATTTATGTGCTTTTACTGAGTGAAGGTAAAAACTACAAGGTGAAACCCAGTATTTTAACCATCATTTGGCAGAGAGGACTGTGGTTTGGTCCAGATGGTGAGGACTGGTTCTGATTGCTGTGCAGCAGAACCCAGAGGAGTTCTGTGATCCAGCTGCAGTTCTATAGACTGGGCCAAATGCAAAACTAAGGAGGRGAAGGGTTGTAAAKAKGTGAAGAAGACATCAGCGTTGACAGAAAGACAGAAGTGGAAGTGGCAGAGCTGAAGATGTGGAGGTTCTTCTCAGGAGTGACAAGTTTGGACAAGATTAAGKACCAGATTATCAGAGGTACAGCACGGGTTGAAGGACTGGGAGATAAAGTTAGAGAGGTCAGACTGAGACGGTCTGGACATGTCCAGAGGAAGGACAGTGGGYAGATTGGTAGAAGGATGTTGGAGATGCAGCTGCTATGGATGGATTAGTGAGAGTGAGATATCAACCTCTGAAGAGGGAACGAAGGAAATCAGGGAAAGAAGAAGATACTGAGACAGAACTTGAACTCAGACCTTCTGATTTATAGCACTCTACAACTGAGTGAAACAAATCATTACAAAAAGATTGGGTACAATAGTAATTTGGATCTTCTGGATTTCATGCCTCCATGGTTCCCATGAAGGAATGGAGAACAACAATCAGAACAAAGCAGAGAATCWAATAAATGTTTGTGAGAAGGTGCCACAGTCAGGAGCTAAGGAGCAGTTCCTCATTAGTAGTCTGGACTGAACGCTACTTTACAATGTGTCGTTGGATGTTGGGGGGCTTTTTGAGTGTGCACCTGTGCAGTCAGCAGGTCGACTGACGGAAAGTAGTAGTCTTCATGGGGCAGGTCTACAGTGAAGGCAGAACCACTGGTCCTGGGTCTTACCTCCTTCTCCACTGGCTTCACCTCCTCCTTCTAAAGCACAAACAGGGAGGCCGTCAGCAGAGTCACTACAGCGTCCTCGCAAACATTTGCTTCTAGATTTGAACTTTGACATTTCCAACTACGAAGACCAGAAAATCTGAAAGTACCTCACTGTCCAATTCGTGTACAACAGCCTGATTTTCTTCCATCACTTTACAGTTTTATATTTCAATGCGACTTTAAATGTTTTTAAATCAAAATATAAAAACTAATGTGTAGAGAAGCAGCAGTGGTAAACAAAAAAAGGGTCAAGTCTAAACACAATGAAGAACTTTAAGGACAAAGTGTACCTTCACTCCCCATTATTTATGAAAATCTTTATCAGAAATAGCCCCTCTACTTATACAACCCCAAATCTGAAAAGGTTGGGACGTTGTGCAAAATGGTCGGCAAACCTTGTAAACCCATTTTTATTCACAATGGCACATAAAAAAATATATAGAGACTAAAAAAATGGTACAATTTTGGAGTTAAAACATTTAATGGCAGCAACAGCTCTCCACAGTGCTTGGACAGGAGCAACATAAGGCTAAAATTAGGGCTGTCAATTGACAATATATCGTCAATTTATCATCATGGCCTACTGCAGAAAAATCTGTGTAAACTGCAATAAATTACTCAAATGTTTGTATTTATGCGTTTTGTCAGCATCTGTCTGATGAACAAAATGGACCCAAGATCCCACATCAAATCATGACCAGAGGAGAAAATGTTGCAATGAGATAATTTACAGTTTAACTTTTTTTTTTTTTTTTACTTATTTTCAGATGTTTTTACTCTTTATTAAAAAAACTGATAGTAAGGGGCATTTTCAGTATTTAGAGGATCAGAAAATGTTTAGTGGAGGTGATGTTTTATTCATTAAGAAATAGTTTTTTTGTTTGTTTGTTTTTTGCTTTGAATTTTGAGCAGAAAGACATCAACTCTGCATACTTAAATATTTGTTCATTTATCACAGGTCGTATCATTGCAATATACACTCACCGGCCACTTTATTAGGTACACCTGTCCAACTGCTCGTTAACACTTAATTTCTAATCAGCCAATCATATGGCGGCAACTCAGTGCATTTAGGCATGTAGACATGGTCAAGACAATCTCCTGCAGTT